TTCTGGTTGCCAAAATTTTGTTTAGAATTTTTGCATCTATGTTCATCAGTGATATTGGCCTGTAGTTCTCTTTTTTCGTGGTGTCCTTGTCAGGTTTTGGTATCAGCGTGATGTTAGCCTCATAGAATGTGTTAGGAAGTGTTCCATCTTCCCTAATTTTTTGGAATAGCTTGAAAAGGATAGGTATTAAATCCTCTCTGAAAGTTTGGTAGAATTCTCCAGGAAAGCCATCTGGTCCTGGGGTTTTATTCTTTGGGATGTTTTTGATTGCTGTTTCAATCTCTTTCCTTGTGATTGGTCTGTTCAAATTGTCTGCCTCTTCTTGAGTCAGCTTTGGGAGATTGTAGGAGTCCAAGAATTTATCCGTTTCCTCTAGGTTATCCATTCTGTTGGCATATAGTTTTTTGTAGTATTCTCTTATAATCTGTTGTATTTCTGCAGAGTCTGTTGTTATTTCTCCTCGCTCATTTCTGATTTTGTTTATTTGAGCTTTCTCCCTTTTTTTCCTTGTAAGTCTGGCTAGTGGTTTGTCAATTTTATTTATCTTCTCAAAAAACCAGCTCTTTGTCTCATTGATCCTTTCTACTGCCTTTTTCATTTCAATAGTATTTATTTCTGCTCTGATTTTTATTATTTCTCTCCTTCTGCTGACTTTGGGCTTCATTTGTTCTTTTTTCTCTAGTTCAGCTAGGTGTGCTTTAAGGTTGCTTATTTGGGATTTTTCTTGTTTGTTAAGATGTGCCTGTATTGCGATGAATTTTCCTCTTAATACAGCTTTTGCTGTATCCCATATGAGTTGGTATGGCATGCTATCATTTTCATTTGTTTCCAGGTATTTTTTTATTTCTTCTTTAATTTCTTCAATGATCCATTGCTTGTTCAGTAGTGTGTTGTTTAGTCTCCACATCTTTGTGCCTTTCTCAGCTTTTTTCTTGTAATTAATTTCTAGCCTTGTAGCACTATGATCTGAGAAGATGCTTGTTATTATTTCAATTTTTTTAAATTTGTAGAGGCTTGCCTTGTTTCCCAACATATGGTTCATGACCGTATCTTAAACAAATCAGATATTTCTTAAATAGGCAAAGATTTCTAAAACAAGACAAAATAAAGGTCAAACCATAAAGGAAAAATTGACGAATTGGTCTTCATTGAAATGAGTTCATCGAGAGAAGAAAGTAAAAAGGTAGGCCACCAAATGGGAGAAGATATTTGCAATGCATATATATAATAAAGGACTCCATCCAGAATACATTAAAAAATCCTACAAATCCATACAGATAAAGTCAGTCACGGGGCCGGCCCGGTGGCGCAGCAGTTAAGTTCACATGCTTCGCTTCTTGGCAGCCCAGGGTTCGCCGGTTCGGATCCCGGGTGCAGACATGGCACCACTTGGCAAGCCATGCTGTGGTAGGCGTCCCACATAGAAAGTAAAGGAAGATGAGTGTGGATGTTAGCTCAGGGCCAGTCTTCCTCAGCAAAAAAGAGGAGGATTGGCAGTAGTTAGCTCAGGGCTAATCTTCCTCAAAAAAAAAAAAAAAAAAAAGTCAGTCAACCCAATAGGAAAATAGGCAGAAGGCTTGAACAAGCACTTCACAAAAGAGCTATCCAAATGACCAATAGATATATGAAAAGGTGTTCAACTTTATTAGTTGTCAGGAAAACTCATAATAAAACCAGACCACCACACACCCACAGAATGACTAAAATTAAAAAGGCTGAATATCAAGTGTTTGCACGGATGTAGAGCAACTGATGGGAGTATAAATTGATATAAATACTTTGAAACTGTTTGGTAGTACCTTCTAAAACTTATCTATATGCCCTGTGACCCAGCATGCCAAATGACATGTAAAAAAGTATGTTCATAGCAGCATTCTTCAGTATAGCCCCAAACTGGAAAGAATCCAAGTGTCCATCAAGCGCAGGGTGGATAAGTAAACTCTAATGTATTCATTTTGTTCAGCAGTGCTTTCTTAACCCAACTGTGGTGAAGGACCAGATTCTTTTCCCTAGCTGTCAGAATGAAACTCTTATATAGCAATATTACACAGAATGTCAAACTGCTCTAAAAGTTTCTAAATCACACCTTCTGTAATCATTGCATTGGGAATCAGTGGCAAATAGGGTGTGGGCCAGCAGTAGTCCGCAAACTGCACTTCAAATAGCACTGCTCTCAAGCAATGAAAATGAACAAACCGCAACTACACACAACAACATGGATGAATCTCACAAGTAGACACAAAAGGGTCTATATTTTATTATTCCATTCATATAAAGTCCAGTGACAGCAAAAAATCACTAAACTGTGATGTTAGATATGAGGATTACCCTTGAGGAGTGGAAAATTGTCATTCGAAAGGGCTATGAGGGGAATTCTGGGCTTCTTTTTGTTTTTTTGGTGAGGAAGATTGGCCCTGAGCTAACATCCATTGCCAATCTTCCTCTTTTTGCTTGAGGAAGATTGTGACTGAGCTAACAATTGTGCCAATCTTCCTCTGTTTTGTATGTGAGACACTGCCACAGCATGGTTTGACGAGTGGTATGTAGGTGTACACCTGGGATCTGAACCTGCAAACCCTGGGCCACTGAAGTGGAGTGTGTGAACTTAACCACTATGCAACCAGGCTGGCCCTGGAATTCTGGGGTTCTTAATCTTGGCATTGCATCATTTTCATGTTGGTTATATATGGATGTGCTCGTTCCATGAAAATTTATCTAGCTGTACACCTATGATTTGGGCACTTTTTTGTTTATGTATATTTTACTTACCATTTACATTAAAAATTATTGAGCACCTATTAAACACATGCCTTCTAAATTCGTAAAGGATATAGATTAGTGGAGAAAGCAGTGTATATGCAAGTATGTAAAGAAATGTGGAATTCTAAAGTATGATTTCATAAAAGAAATCATAATAAAATACAGTGATAGAGAATAAGGAAGGAAGGAATCTACTTAGATAAGGTGATCAAGGAAGGGGCTTCTCTGAGAAGATATTTTAGCTGAGACCTGGAGGATGAAAAGGAATAAGTGATGCCAAGAGTGGAGACAAACAATCCAGGGATTTCAGTAGTTGCTTTGGTAGAGAAAAAGAATTTAGTGGATTTACGGTAGAAAGAGGGCATTGCAGTCATGGAGTACAACATGGGAATTGGTATGAAAATTGGGACAGGAGGAAATGGATGTAAAGAAGTAGGATTTTGGTTTACAGTTGCAAGTAATAGACCAAAATGGATAGTTTTGCAAGAGGCTTGTCAACATCAGCATGAGAAGAGAATGATTGTATATCTAGAATAAAGGAAAATCTAGTTTAAAAGGAAGTGCATTCCCAGTTAATTTTCAAAACCAAGGAAAATATGATCTTATTAAGAGTTGAGTAATGGATAGGGTTACTTAAGAATGCATGATAGACATGCGTTTCAGTGTGCTTCATGTAATTTGAGGTAAGGAAAAACACATTTACATATTAGAGAAGTTTGATTCAGCCATTTGAAGATGGATGGCAAGTGGGACAGCATTCTAAGTGTCTGTGGCATTCCACTGGTCCCTCTTCTTCATTGCCTCTCCCCCGACCCCCCAACACCCAGTTACTTCCTTATCACTCATTTCACCTCTATCAGTCTTACCTTTTATTTCCTTCCTCCCTCATTCTTCTCCCTCACCTTCAAATGTTTCGTTGAAAGTACACTTTCATGTGTATCCTCTTCTTTAATTTAATCTTTTTATAACCCTAACAGTTTCATGTTTGTGGAGATGTATGTGGGGAAACTTTGGCTCAGAGAAGCTATATGACTTGTCTAAGGTCACAACCTAGACTCCTGACTTCAAGAGCAGTGCTTTTTCCATTATGCCACTGAGGCCTTCATCTCTTCCAAATCTACACATGATGGTGTTATGTTTAAAATATTGTCATCTGCATTATGAGTAATGAAAGTGTGTCCTATTGTTAGATTTTATGTTAGATTTTATAAGAGATATCGTCTAGAAGGTTGAGTTATATATATGAATATAGGCTATGTATAATATGTGAATATATTTCACTTTATATCAACTTGAAATAAATGGTGTATATAGTAAAGTTTTAAAATTTTTATTAGCTTTTGAAGTAAACAGAGCCTTCCTCAAGTGTAGCATATCCATGGTCTCATAATTATCACTAATTTCATATGTCTTCTTAATTACTAAAAATCTAGAAGGAGAGATGCTATTGAGGCAAATGATTAAAGAAATTGTAGTGGCCCAAGATCTCACTAAAAATGAGGAGGTAAAGCAAATGATTGTTCAGAGCTTAGTTTATTTCCAACTGTTTGCCTTCTTCCCTCTGACTCTCTCTCTGTGTCTTTAATACCACTGCCAATGAGTAAACACTGGAAACACAGGAGGTTAAACTCAGATCAGTTGTTTTATCACTTGCTGGTAGCTCTGGGGGAACTAGGAGATTAAGAAGATTGGTTAAAATGAAGTTGATAGATTATAGATTTTAATCCATTACTTTTGAAAGTTAAGAGATGAGACATTTTTATTATGGATGTGCAACCCACTCTTAAAATATCTGATAATATTACATCTGTTGGAACTTTTATAGTGGTTAGTAAACTGGAACAGTATACTATCAAACACAAGAGTCTAGACTTTGTAAAAGTGGAGAAGATCCCTGGCTGAGTCGCAGCTTAAGGTGAAGTAAAGTCTAGACACATGGCTGCTGATCCTGCCTCTCTTTGCCTGATGTGCCGTCAGGGAGTGGCTGGATCCACAACGTCTGGTTTCAGCCGTTTCCGGAGGTGGTCGTAGCTGTACATATGAGAGAATGACTGTTACTTAATACTGCCTTGGGAATTCTTGCTAGAATATCCTGACTTCTACCATGCATGGGATAAGAATGACTGTTTGGGGAGGCGGAAGGGCCATGAGATGACTCCCAGGAAGTGGTAATGCACCAGACTCCTTCACTGAGGTATTCAATCCCCAATTTTTCCTCTCCTCTTTTTTATTTGCCGTAGAGTGATTCTCATCAGTTCCGTGTCATGGCAGCTGTCCTTCGCCATTGTTTACTAATCGTAGGTCCAACCGAAGACAAAACAGAGGAGCTGCACAGGTAGGTAACTTCTGTATTGATATCTCAGTGAAGGTATCATCAGTTCTTATTGTTTTTATGCATCTGACTTTAATTGTTACAAGCGTAAGAAAGTGAAAGTATTACAGTAAATCAGATAAATCAGAAATCATTACTATACCCTGAAGAGAAATTTTCATTCTGTCCCCTTGACTTTGTTATATTGAGCCCCAACAAGACAAGTAAATTTGGCATTTGTTGTATTCAGCAGTAAAGCCCAGAACACAATAATAATAATAGCACTCAGTTATTAAATACTGTGTGTAACATTATGCTAAGTGCTTTATAAAGATTAACTTCTTTTAATCATCACACCAACCTTAGGAGGTAAATACCGCTATTTTTCCCTTTCAGTAGATGATGAAACTGAGGCATAGAAAGATCAAGCAATTTCTCAGAGGTCACATAGGCCTAATAAGTGAAAGAGCTTGGATTTGAACCCTGCTTTTAATTACTACACTTAAACTAATACTCTCACTAATTTCGTTGTAAGAGTATTTACCAAAAAGTGTATCTTTTTCTTTTTTTTTTTGGTGAGGAAGATTGTCCCTGAGCTAATATCTGTTGCCAATCTTCCTCTTTTTGCTTGAGGATGATTGTTGCTGAGCTAACATCTGTGCCAGTCTTCCTCTGTTTTATATGTGGGATGCCGCCACAACAAGGCCTTATAAGTGGTGTGTAGGTCCACGCCCAGGATCCCCAGCAAACTCTGGGCTGCCAAAACAGAGCGAATGAACCTAACCACTACACCACTGGGCCAGCCCTCAAAAAGTGTATCTTAAGCACTATAAATTAAATTTTTTTAAGTTATAAGAGTTGGGTCACAGTCTCAAGTATTACCGTATGAAAAATGGTTCAAGTTTTGTGACTTGCCTGTTAGAGCTATTGATGGACTGCTGTTAAAATTTACTATTCTCTGAGAACTGAGTAAGTATTAATGCATTTTTCTAGTTCTCTTACTTTTATTCTATGTCGGATTTGCAGTAACAACACTTTTGACTTTAATATGAGACTGCTCAGGGTGCTTGAGTCTGTAAGAATACAAATGGTATTTTAAACAGTTCAAATCTGCAAAGAACTCTGGCATTAACTTTGCTTTACAAATAAATTTAAAATTGGGTTCTCTTAATAGTAGAAATTACCTTTCGGACATTTACAGTATTCTGTTTTCCAAAATATGGCTTAAATAAAACTTTATAGAAGCACAAACAGAGTGTAAAATGAAACTTACCCTTAATTGTTATTTTTCCATCAAATCCATGTTATTTTAGTTATGATCAGCTATTTATTATTTGATATTGCACTGAGTTTGTTGGTAGGTTGCCTTTATGTATTCTCACCTACAAGCCTTCAAAAGATTGTTTTCTTCACAATTAAAATGTATGATTTTTTTCTGCAGCTACAGATCAAAAGTTCCTTTCATTTTCTTGAGACTGTGCCTTTAAAAAATAATCAGAGTAACTGCAATAAATCATATGCTCTAAAAAAGATTTTATTAAGCATTTTGATGTACTGTAATTTCTCTCATAATCAAGAGACAGTAGAAATCTAGGTACTAAAACTAAAAGAAAATGGGTTTATAAGCCTAGGAGTAAATTCGTATATTTTTTTTTTTGGAAATCAGATATCACAAGTTAAATAGCATTCATATAAGAATGTGAGGAGAAAGCGTTTTGACAGGAATTGTTACACTAGTCACAAAAACATTGTTAAGGATTTCTGTGAAGAATGAATGTAATATTTTAACCCAGCATTTGTCAAAAGAGAGCAAAACTATATAGATGTTTTAAAAATAAGATTTTTTTTTTTTGAGGAAGATTAGCCCTGAGCTAACATCTGGTGCCAATCCTCCTCTTTTTGCTGAGGAAGGCTGGCCCTGAGCTAACATCCGTGCCCATCCTCCTCTACTTTCTATCTCGGATGCCTACCACAGCATGGCTTGCTGAGCGGTGCCGTGTCCTGTGCGAACTTAACCGCTGCACTACTGAGCCGGCCCCTTAAAAAGAAGATTTTTTTAAAAGTCATCAGATTTATTTTCCTTTCTGATGATATTTGCTTTAAATATTCATTTTTCTTAAATAAACTTTAAAGATATTTTTCTTTAAATTTGCTTTTATCTTAAAAGTTACTTTGATAAAATATCTGTTAGCTACACCATAAATAAGGACTATCCCTAGGGCCCCAGCCGGGATTTACGAGTATTTCGCAAAGGCTTTCCTGGGAGATTGAGGTTGCTGCTGACTTGACAGTTTATCCGGAATGGCCTTGCATGTCCCTTTAATCAGAATTAAAGTGATTAGTATCATTTGAGCAATCATGACTCTAGGCTAATCCATTTAAATACAGAGAAAACTGCCCCAACCTCAAAGGGCTATTTTAGGAACCTTACTAGAATTGTAATAACTACTAATTTCTGCTCATTTGTAGTGACCTTGAGCAGTTTGTGTGTGTGTGTTTAAAGTATAAGTTTAAAACAAAAGCAGAGTGTTTCATAGTAACATCCCATTCCATTTTTTTTAAGTTGTTTTCTAAGTTTGTTTTTTTGCCCTTTTTTTTGGACACTTTGATTTGTTTTAAGGAAAAATGTAATGAAATAGGTGAACCTAGATAGTATAGTGTACAGTTTTGCATTATCATCAAACTCAAAGGGTTATAATCATGATTAAATGAAAAATTAATACAGCACTCTGTCCCTGGCACAGAGTGAGCTCTCAGTAAACAGGGGAGCTGCCACTCACTGCTACTTCTGTTACTATTATAATAAGCATATTGGCTTTTAGATCCAATATTTAGTTCCAAATCTCTCTTTAAAAGTTGTTTCTTGATTTTGATATTTGTTTAGGAACTTATTTCTCTGTATATCCTATGATTGTGTAGCAAAATCTGTTTTCTGTTAATCTGAGTTTTTCTCAAGCCAGATGGATTCTAGGATACATGCTTGTCGAGAGCCTATTAAAGTGCTGTAGGAGACATGTGAGTATAAGACTGGCCCGGCAGCAGCTTTTTCTGATATGTTGTCTCTGTAAGACAGTGCCTTTTTTTTTGCCCCCCAGAGAAATCAAGCGGCTATGGACATAAAGATAAAATGAGTTAGCTCACAAAGACAGCTGACCTTGACCTTTATTTCCACTAATCAGTATCTTAGATAGTTTTAAAAATTTATTTGTTCTCTTTCATTTCCTTTTGTCTGTTCTGATGGTAACAAGTAAATTGTTGGCATGATCCACCTTTTTTGCTACAGTAAAGGACATCCTAATTCTGTTTGTCTCTATTATCTGCCTGAAAGTATTTTCAGCCCTCTTGTCCATAATCAATAATCTTATGCGTAAACACTTAGCCAAAAGTTGCATCTGGATGTGGTTGTGGCTTTGTTTTATTTTGGAGAAGGGTGAAGATGGGGATGGCCTATACGCTGGAGAGGAGAGGGCAGGAATAAATCTTATTTAATTTCTTTTAGTCTCTCAATCTCATTTCTTTCACTTAGCACATTGGCATCTATAAAGCTTTTTTTTTTCTCTTCCCCCCCTTTTTTTGGCATCCAAAAGAGCCAGTGAGTCTTTAAAAAGTACTTACCTCTCTGCTTTTTTTGGTTGGTGTTTCTTTATTTAGACCAATTCATTTTCTTACATATTGAAGGGGACAGTTTAGTATCTAATGATACCTCATTACAATTCTAAGCATAATGCCTTTTTTTTCAGCTTTATTGAGACATAATTGACATATAACATTGTTTAAGTTTAAGGTGTACACCGTGCTGATTTGATACACTTACACATTGAAAAATGATTACCACCATAGTGTTAGCTAAGGATAATGTCTTACACGTGGCAGACTTAATGTTTGAAAATTGGATGATTTCATTTTGGTTTCTGTTAACTGAGCACTTACTATGTGTTAGGCACTGTGTTGAGCTATAAGGCAACAAAGATGAATACAAGGTGATCTGTGTTCTCCAGGGCTCACCAACTAGGGGATAAAACAGACTTCTAAGTAAGTAAGAGCAGTTGTTTCAGTGAGTGTTGTGTCAGACATGAACAAGTTTACATAGTGGACAGAAAAAGGAGAGTTCACTTTGGAGAGATTGGGGAAAGGTGGGTTTATTTTTTGTTGTGTTATTATTAAAGCTCTTAGCTCTTTAACCTGATTCTCACTGTGAATAGCAGTTATCTAGGTGAACAGATATTTTCTGAACTATAGATAGTCCCCAATTTATGATGGTTCAACTTATGATTTTTCAACTTTACAATGGTGGGAAAGCACTAATCACTCATTAGAAACCATCCTTTGAAATTTGAATTTTGATCTTTTCCTAGCTAGCGATCTGTGGTGGGATATTCTCTGGTGATGCTGGGCAGCGGCAGCGAGCCACAGCCACACCATCATGAGGGTGAACAACCGATACACTTACAACCATTCTGTTTTTCACTTTCAGTACAGTATTCAATAAACTACACAAGATATTCAATACTTTATTAGAAAATGAGCTTTCTGTTAGATGGTTTTACCCAACTGTAGGTTGATGTAACTGTTCTGAGCACATTTAAGGCAGGCTAGGGTAAGCTGTGATGTTCAGTAGGTTAGGTGTATTAAATGCATTTTTGACCTACAATATTTTCATCATCTTTCTTTGGGATATAACCCCATCGTAAGTTAAGGAAGATTTGTATAGCTAAGCACCATGCTAAGTCCACGAAGGACTCCACGGTACATACTCTGGAGGAAGATAGAGTCTAACTGGAGAGACAAGACATAAATATTATGAAAAGTTAAATAACAATTCAAGATAAGAATAGAAGAGATATCACAAGATAGTTTTTGAATAGTTTCCCAGTGAATTAATTATCCAAATACTAATTGCTAATAGAATCTGAAGGACAAGCTCACTGTGGTCTAGCACGACCAGGAAAGTCTTCCTCACTTATACTATACCTGTTCTTCATCCTCGTCCAGACCTCTGGTCCCCTCCCGATTCCTTTTTCTCC